GGTTAAACCACAACACTCATAATGATTATTCACATGTCCAGAAAAAGAATGTAACTTTGAAGTGGTTGCTACTGTGATAAAAATTGAGCAGACACCAGATGCATCCCCTTGTGAAAAGTTTTATCTTCTTAAATTGATCTCCAAACTAAATTTTCAGCTAAATCAGGAGATACACCCCTAGAATGGATGACCTGTTTATGGGGAAAAGGAGCGAATCAGGTTATCCTCACCATGGAGGAGGCTCAAGGTTTAGTACTAAGGACTGGGGATTCTCTCACAAACCCTGCACGGCCAGAGGCAGACTTGCGGTGGGGCGATGCTGTCTGCTGGGCCAGGCAGGTCCCTGTCAGCTGCCGGGGAGGGATGGGGACAGGCAAGGGAGACGGTGGTGGGAGAATACTCAAGAGTTGCAGATCACCATACTGAAATCTGACATCTTGGACATGCTGGACAGATCAGAGCCTGTAGCTCAGGACAGGCAGCTGCCAAGTCTCCTGGGCACTACAGGGCAGGTCAGTCATGGGCCAGCCATGTGGGTTTTTACAGGGCTCAGGACAAAAGGCAGTGAGGTGGCTCACACCATCAAGAGGCCACTGTAATAGCCACTGTCATAGTGCAATTGCTGTATTACGATTATGTTGTGATTTCAGTATGTTGCTTTGCTAAATCAGAATGCCATGTAATGTTGAGTATCTTCAATTGGTATTAAAACATTAAACCCTCCTTGTCTGCAACATCTAAAAGAACCTGGTCAGAGTGCTGGACTGACACATATGTAACTACTGTCTTGTGTATGTAAAAGCATGCCCAGAATTTCAACTATGGATGCTTAAATTAACACCTACAGATAAATATTTGAGTTTCTCTATAGGTCTAAATAAACACATTATTTTTAAATTTAATACTATGTGCATGTTCCAAGCATAGCTTTGAAATATATATGTTGAAAACTTCCATGATAGTGGTAGTGTCATGCAAGAGACTCAAGCACTAGAAGTACCATTAACTTTCAACGTCTTCATAAATATTTTAATCTTTGCATTTTCATGTGAAAAATTGAAGAGGACACATACAAAGCTACAAAAATGGCAGTATTAAAATACTAGTACATCTTACAACACAAGCTCGTATCAAATCCTCAGGAACCTGCATTTCCAGCTGTAATGACATCTGAAATGTTTGGGTTTCAAAAATTAAGCCTTACATGCCAATTACTACAGTAAAGATCCTGTTTGCAATTTTTAATTATTTGGTCTTATAACGGTCAAACCACATGCTTATGAGGACTATTAGCTGGAAATTAAAAAAAAACCCAGTATCACAAAGAGCTTGATTAGAAAACCAAAGGACACTGGGACTTGACTACTACCACTAAACAACCTTTCTGATCATATTGCCAGCTATGTCTTCTGTATATAAGGTGTCTGCATTTTATTGATACATAATATAATAAAACATGTTTTATACAAATATGGTGGTGTTTTAGTAAAGACAAAAATACTTAGAAAAAGCAATCTGTTCTTCTGAAGTAGAGGAACCCTATCATCTTAACACAAACACACATTTTATGTTTTACATTACTGGCTGATGAGACGAAGTAAGATTTTGGCTACATCACCTCTAGTCGTTAAAAACACTACAGAAATAACACCCACACATTCTGCAGAATGGTTCAGCACAAAGCTTCTTTTCCGTCCTCTGCTCAAGGACTCTGAACCTGTACATAAGAAGGGAAGTCCAAAGCATTTAATCTTCCAAAGCGAAGAATAGGAACTTTAGATGTACACAGAAAGAAGATTGACTACAGAAGCTGCAATAAACATAAAGGAGAGCCTATGCAGACATTTGGGAATGGGTGTTTGCCCTGTTCACTAACTTTTCACCTTGGGAACCTCATATTTTTGATAGGATTCAACTTGTTCATTTATATAGTGAGCTCTAAACCAAAGCCTACTAAGACGACTAAGCACTGCTCAGCTTCTTATGTCAGTCAGTACCTTAAAATAGCTCCCAGTTCAATACACAAGTTATGGCATTTGGATATTTAATATGAATATAACAAGCTTTCAAGAAGATAGTATAGCAAGTATCCTAGGACAAACCCACTCTCATACTGACCACAAGCCTATTTGCCAGAATTCACCTTTGTATTTTGCACTGTCTTGAATTCAGTAATGCGTCAAGGAGCTTTTAAAGACATCTTCAGGTTAAACTATTGAATTGTGTAGGACTTCACTTGGCTAGACAGTTGAAGAAATTGTAGCAAGAGTTCACTGAATCATGAACATCTCTGTCCCCCTACAGCAGCGCTAAACAGGGGGATGGAACAGCACAGAATCCTTACATTTAGCATACTCTAGTAACAAGGTCAAAATTAGAATTAACTGATAAATCTTCCTGCCTCAAATCTTTCTTCGACCAGGAGAACTCCTTTAGCAGTATTTTTTTCCATTGCTACTGGAAAGCTGCAAGAACTCTATGAGCTACTCATAGGGCCAAAGTTCAGTAACATCCAGAGTTTGGAGTTGTACCTAAACTTCGGAGAAGATGATGGCACAGACAGAGGTAAGTGTTCAAGATGCCAACAGTACCACTTTATCACTCCGGACAGTATCTTCCTTACTGCTAACAAGATACACTCAAATAGTACACCTATAATCCTTGCAGTCTTCAGTGAGGATTCTGAAATCAAGACAATTAAAGAAGCCGACTTAAGCAGTTCATGCACATGTAACAGTAAGACAGCTTGATGTAGCAGTTGCATTGTTAAACACACACACAAGCACCCCCCCTCCCCCCCCAAATTTCACTGCCTGATCCCATTTCAGCCACCGAAAAACAACGATGATGTCTAGGTAAAATAGTAGTAACACACCAGAACCGCTTCAAACTGCTTTTTCTCCCATTTATTACCAAAGCATCTAAAACAAAGTAATGCTTTAAAGTAACCGCTAAAACAATTTCAGATATTA